ACATTACAATGATTTAGATCCTCTCTTATGGTCTTTCACCATTGCATTTATTTTTCTTGGGTGTAATGTTTTAATTATATTGTCTGATCTAATTTGGTTTGATTTTTAAAAATTTATAATGATTTCCTAACATATTACATTCATGGTCCAATTAAAAAATTACACGTCGACTCTCAACTAGGGGTTGAGTTTGAGAGTCACCTTGTCTCTATAAATATATGATGACTTTTTACCTTTCACTTTATGCACTCTTATGAACCTTCTGTTAAGACCTTTGGATATATAAGTTTAAGAATGTTTAGTGGACTCTCAAACCTTCGCTTTCAAAGGTTTGAGATGTCCTCCTCTTTATTTTCCATGGTCTCGAATTACTGTGTATCCCTTCCCATCCTTCGATCCTTACTAGCCGTACTTTCTCCTCCTTAAAGAGGTCGAAGATGCTATGACAAGGGAGGTTGCCCCTCCAAGTGTGATTTCTTTGGATGGTGGATCTTAGTAGTCTATAAATGACTCCTTTAATATTGACTCGGATACCAATTTGGAAGACTTGAAACATCTTTGGTATATGTACTCCATCCCACTCAAGTTTGAGCTTATAGTTTCTCAATCTAGTGATCGATCCTATATATCAAATCATTAATTCTGCACTTATATAAATGCACTAGAGGTAGGCTTAAGTTCTCTTTATTTTTGTCAAGATCTTCCAGGTTTTAGAGATTTTTTCTACTCAGATAGTGTCAAACTTATGATATTATCTTATAATGTTCGTAAGGGAATATCATGGTCTCAACATAAACCTAACACTAATCCTATTATATGCATGCTACAATATGTGCTTCAAGTGTGTGGTATCCTTTTAGCTTGAAGTGGACGCAATGTTTAGGGGCCCTCGAGCTTCGATGAGTGTTAGGAGGAAATATTTTTTTTTATGTTTCTTTAAAGGATGGCTTTCTAGCCTTACTTGGCCATCTAGAAGTCTGCTAGGTCATAGAGGCCGAACTCATCGTCTCACCCCAGGGTCGGTAATTAAGGCTTTCTTACCTTTATTTATGAGTTTGATATCCTTTTAGTTGTTGTTACTATTCTTGATTTTGCTTTTCAAAAAAAAAAAAAAGATCTTACTAGTGGACTTTCTTATACCATCGACAAGAGAAAGCATAAGAAGTGATAACAGGAGTTGCAATAGTAATGAGAAAAACGACAATAATAGGAGTAGCCTGTGAACCACGAAAGGTGTTGTCCGATCCCTAAATTGAGAATTCCCTTCATGCTAGAGGAAGAAAAATAGACTTTAGGTTGGGTCCTCGACAATGACAAATGAATCAAGAATCCTTATAAGGGAGTAGGAGGAAGATGACGAAGAAAGTATTTAGCTCCTGAGATCCCAAGCACTCCTCGACTACTCAAGGGGAGAGGTGGTGAAAGATCCCAAGCTAACTAGGGTCCACTTCTAAGTCTGCCTTAGGTTGAGGTGTTGGAAAATCGAGGGACTAGGCCAAAACTCTACAACTACATTAGAGTCATGCTCAAAGAGTCTCTCTGATGCTTAAACCAGTATGAGTTCAAAAGTTTTGGTAGAGTATCAAAGTTTATGAGTATATTCAGCTAGCGCAACTTCTTAAGAATGCACCTCAAGTGCATTTTTATTATGGATGAGTGATTATTGGCTTGAGGCTCTGATAAATATCAGGAATAATTATACGTATTATTTGACAATCAATAGACCGTGAGATCATGTGTTGGGCCTAGTAATTATGGAGTAATAGTTTTGTCAAGTCAACTTTCCCATTAGTGTTATATAGCTAACCTAATGGGTCGAGTTGACATCCTCGTAGATGCCATGTTGCCAACCTTGTGAGATCGAGTCTCATCTGATATGTCGAATAAGTGGAAGTGATATGTTAATAATGATTGCCTATATGTCATACTATAAAGCGTTGTAATATATATTTATATATAACATAAAATTTTAGGGATAATTTATTTGAAAAAAAGTCCCACCACCCTTCCCCAATTCATTTTTATCGGATGACATCCTATATTTAAAAATTACTAATAATATCATTTTTATATTAATAAAAAATATATATCAATCCATTTTTATCTACTTCGTCTTTTCCTCTCGTTTTCTCCCTTTTTCTTTTTCCCTCTTAAACATTATTCTCTCCTTATCTTCGATTCTCTCCTCCCTCCTCTATTTGGAACATTGAGTTTGATTATAGAACTGTACTAAATACCTCTCTTTCTCCACAACCACCCGTCCTTATATCCTTCCTTGATCTTGCCTACCAATGACCCCTACGAGAGTATTAGGGAGGGACAAAATTGAAAACTCAAAACCAAAAGGATAAACCCAGAGATCAACAATAAAAAATATATCAGAAAGCTCACACAAGATTTAACATGGTTTCATAATTTT